CAAATGTTCAGGCTGAGCACACATCTCTCGTAGCAAAGTGGGAAGAATGAAATAGGTGAGACTTACAGGTAATAGATGATGAGGGCTCGGACTAACACAGCAGCCTCAGATCTCTCATTATCTGTCACATGACTTGAGTCCACTCCTAGAAGTGGCTCATTTGGCACTTGGGTGGCTTGTCTTCTTAACAAGTCTTCTCCTAAAATGGATGTCTCTCTCATCTTAAAGTCCTTATTTTATAATTGTCACCTAAAGCAGCTGTTCTCAAAGTTTAGGGTGCATTAGAATCACCTGAAGGGCTTGAAAAAACACAGATTTCTGGGCCCCACCCCCAGAGTCTCTGAACCAGTAGGCCTGGGAACAAGCATTTCTGAGGGGTGCTCAGGTGATATTGCTGCTGCTGGTCGAGAGACCACACTTTGAAAACCACTGAATTAAAGTGAGAAATTAAGACATAGTTGAGGGAAAGGCCGGAATAGAATGGAAGGAGGAAAAAAATCTGGAAGGTCCCAGCATAATCCCTGTGGCAGTTTTGCTGAAGGCTGGCTCTGGCCACAAACAGTGGGGTCTGTAAGAGTGACTGAGTCTCTAGGTGTATATTGAATTGCAGATGCAATTCTCACAATGAGGAAATGAAAAAAGCTCAGATTCTGAGAGGTAAGAAGTGTACAAGTGCTGCTTTATCCCCTCCCTTGTGATTCTGCCCTGACTCCCTGTCAGCGAGCACATTGCCTGGTTCCAGACCTTGCACTCAAGTCGGCCAGTGTATTTCCAACCCTGATCCATCTCACTGCTTGTCATCCCAATTCTGATATCTTTTGGAGCTGGGTTGGCCCACTGGGTGGACATTTGGCTGAATTTTAAAGTAGTCAGACCAAGAAATTGCTCTTTTCTCTTGAGGTCACATTCACGAATAAACATCTGTACCGTATGATTATGCAAATTGTGATCAACCCCCCTAGATAAATAACCCCCTGAGAACCCAAAGTCATCCATGGTTTGGCTTATACTAATGGTTGGCGCAAGTTGTGACAGTTCCCTTAGCTGTGACTCACTGCTCCTGTAATGAGAGAGCATTCCTGTAATGAGAGAGCATTCCAAGATCAGACGTTAAGGAGAAAATATGTTGGCATGTACAACGTGACACAAGAAATAAAGCATCGTGAGGGTTTGTTTTCTTTTTGCTGTATTTTTCTCAATCTTGGATGTGACAAAAGTTTGAACTCTACTGGGGTCTGGATAATCAGTGATATGCCTGCTCAACAGACACCATGTGAATGAATGAAATACTTTCAGGGTCAACATTTTGAGTGCGAGCTAGCAGGTTACAGTATTTGTTTCAAGGTGGCATGAGTGTAAAATGGTCCACTGGGGTGTTGAATATACTGGAAATTCTATGCCTATTAAATTTGTATAAAGTAAGAAATGTCATGGTGGGCCTAAGCTATAATGCAAAGTGAGTGAGATTTGAAAAGATACTTTTCCTAATAGAGATTTTTTAAAAAATAAATTTATTTATTTTATTTATTTACTTTTTGGCTGCATTGGGTCTTCATTGCTGCCTGCGGGCTTTCTCTAGTTGCGGTGAGCGGGGGCTACTCTTCGTTGAGGTGTGCGGGCTTCTCATTGCGGTGGCTTCTCCTGTTGCGGAGCGTGGGCTCTAGGCTCGCGGGCTTCAGTAGTTGTAGCACGTGGGCTCAGTAGTTGTGGCTCGTGGGCTCTAGAGTGCAGGCTCAGTAGTTGTGGTGCATGGGCTTGGTTGCTCCGCGGCATGTGGGATCTTCCTGCACCAGGGCTTGAACCCGTGTCCCTTGCATTGGCAGGCGGATTCTTAACCACTGCGCCACCAGAGAAGCCCCCTAATAGAGATTTGACAGACAAATGACACCTTAACGGTGTGCTCTTGGAGATGGGAGAATTCCCCAGGATTCTGGGTACCTCCAGAGGGGGAATGTGAAAGCTTGGAACCATAACCTCTGTCCAGCAGGCCTGAGGCCAACTCTGTTGGTCAGATCTGTCTGTTTCCCTGTCCAGGTAATTTTGGAAGGCCAGCTGTTTCCCCTCTTCCTGCAGGGTTGGCCTTAGTGCTACCTTCTCTTGGTCAACTGTACGGTGAACTCCTGCAGTTCCCTCAATCTCAGGTCTCCAGGAAACTTGGTCTAAAGTTTCAAAAGATGTAGCAAACAAAACCCTAGACATGAGTGAGAGCCAGTGAGGAAAGGGACACTTAAACTAGCCAGGAGGGACTTAAAACACTGAACGTGGTCATTAGAAAGTGTTACTATTCACTGTTGCTTAGCATTTATCCAGAAATTTGATGTTTAAGTAACATACATATTAAATAACTAGAAAACTAGTATACTCTATGTTTATTTGAATAAATGCTATAATGTATACCATATATATATTCAATGTCTAGCAATTTCTGGTGGTAGATTTCCAGTGCTATTGTTGTCTTTCTGAAATACAATAACGTAGATAGAAACAACCAAAATTCTATAGACAGATAAAAGAAGGGCAGGATTGAAAACTCAAAGTCCCATGAATCTTTTGTCCATTGTGTACACCTCTGGCACTTCAGCCAGCCCTACACCAACGCAGACTTGTGTGCACTGAGGTGGCCTCACCAACAGGTAACAGATGGTCAATGTTCTTTACAATATTTAGTCACAATGAGGAGTGTGAAGCTACTTGGCAGATTGCTAATGGCCCAGTAAAATCTTTGGAAGGTGGCTTCATGTGAATGGCATTGAGCATCTTCTAGGTGCAAGGCTCCGAGGAAGACATTATGAGGAATTCAGAAAAGTGTAATACTTAGTCCTCTGACACGGCCTCTAATCTGAGAGAGAAAAGGCATAATATTTATGCAAAATTAATAATAGGTACATAACAGTGAGGCCAAGAGTAGCCGTATAATAAAAGGGGGTATGCATGCTGTGAATCCAGAGATGGGATCTTTCTGAGGTTGTCCTGGACGGGAAGGCTCATGGAGGAGCAGTCGCACTGGATCGGAGGTAGAAGTAGCATTTGGGGGGAGCATTGGGGTTTAGGGAATGGACCTAAGTGATCTGTGGCTCTGATGGTCAGCACAGGCTTGTTTAGGACTGTGATTCGACTTCTGTATCTGGAGTGAAGGGGTCAAGTAAGAGAGGAGAAGGGAAGCCTGAGCTTCTTGAGGTCTTCCTTTCTTGGCCGCCCTCGGACCATCTAATCCAAATATTCTGACGGGGGCTTCCCTGGTGGTGCAGTGCTTGAGAGTCCGCCTGCCGATGCAGGGGACACGTGTTCGTGCCCCGGTCCGGGAAGATCCCACATGCTGCGGAGCGGCTGGGCCCGTGAGCCATGGCCTCTGAGACTGCACGTCCGGAGCCTGTGCTCCGCAACAGGAGAGGCCACAGTAGTGAGAGGCCCGCGCCACAACAGTGAGAGGCCCGCGTACCTCAAAAGAAAAACAAAAACAAAAACGAATATTCTGACGGCTTACACCTACTGACAAATTAAGCCATTCATTGATTCATTAGAAGATGAGTAACACTGGACTCTCATTTGACCTTCTTAACATTTCATTTTATTAATAGGAAGGCACTTTGGAGCTAAGGATGACACACCACTTTATCAATATGATCTAATCCTATCATAAACTCTATCAAACTGGCAGGTGGTTGGTCTCTCTCCACTTGCAAAATGACTTGGGAAAGTCAAGTGACTTGTTTAAAGTCATGCAAGAATACCCTGGCACGTCCACATCCCTGGATTCCACCTCCCTGACATTTGGTGGTTCCCAGCATCATTTGCTTTGCAGATCTCCATAGGGATGGTGGCTCTAAGAACTTGGGTCCTTGACATTTAGTTAAGATTTTCTCCATCTATTATTGTAGCCCATGGAGGCCCTCAACTGTAACCCCAAGAGGTCCTCGTTAATTTTAATCTGAGGATGAGATAATTACGCCCTTCTCTTTCAGGCTTAATCCTGGCTCTCACTGTAAGAAAGTACCATTTCAGTGCTGTGGGTCTGTGCAAACACTCCCATCTGAATGAAACAGCAATCTCAGCACTTTTCATGCCAAATGCCAACCAGCATAGCAGGACTATCAGTGGCTTTCAATCTGCCTGAACTTTGAAGTGAGACACCAGACCCTTACCAGCAGGATAGAATCACTCCATTGGCTGCCTTTTGAAGTTAGCTAATTGCTTTAAAAAAAAAAAAAAAAAGTGAGATGCTTTAAATGAAAACAGATTTTATTTCTGTTTGCTTTAGAAACTGAATATGTTTGTCTGTCTTTCCTGACGTAAGTTTTTAAAAGAGGGAAATTATAATACCGTGGTTAAGTGGATAAGGCTGGGGTGATCCATAGCTTATTCAGTTATACATTGTTTAAATGTTGTCTGTTTCGTGAACCCAGAGCTGTCAGAAATACAGTTTGACTTGTATCTTTGCCAAACATAAAGAATTTTTTTAAAAAATTAATTAATTTATTTTTGGTTGCGTTGTGTCTTCGTTGCTGCGCACGGGCTTTCTCGAGTTGTGTCATGTGGGGGCTACTCTTCGTTGCGGTGCGCAGGCTTCTCATTGTGGTGGCTTCTTTTGTTGTGGAGCACGGGCTCTAGGTGCGCGGGCTTCAGTAGTTGTGGCACGCAGGTTCTGTAGTTGTGGCTCACGAGCTCTAGAGCTCAGGCTCAGTAGTTGTGGTGCACGGGCTTAGTTGCTCCGTGGCATGTGGGATCTTCCCGGACCAGGGCTTGAACCTGTGTCTCCTGCATTGGCAGGTGGATTCTTAACCACTGCTCCAACAGGGAAGTCCCAAACATAAAGTATTTTTTTTGACATTACTCCTTGTCCCTCCATCTCCCTCCACTTCAGACTCTGAGCAGTTGAAAGGTGTGAAAAACTTTTTAAATCAAAATTATCAAAATCACTATCAATAGCTATTATTCATTGAGTTTTACTAATTCCAGGTCCTTTGCTAGCAGTTCACTCCGTATTATCTCACTTAATTTCTGTCTCAGCTCTGTACGGTTGGGAAGAGTGGGATCTCGGTTCACAGACGAGACAAGCAGAGGCTGGAGTTGAGTAGTTTGTCAAAGGTTGTAGTGGACCTGGGCTTTGAACCCTCTTTTAATCACTTAGCTCTAGAAACTGTGCCCTTAGTCACTATTGTACTGTATCTGGAAACAAAAGGAAAAGTGCTGGGAAGAGTTAACAGGGGCTGTCTGTGCACTCTGACCACACCCACGGAGATCCCTGTGGGAGGAAACGGCCCTTGTTTTTGCTCCCTCAGTTCACACTATCAGCAGGGCTGTTGAAGCACACTTCCTTCTCTTCTTTTCCCTATCTCTTCCTCCTTAAAATTTTTGTTATAAAGTATCATCCAGAAAGGGGGTGAGTTGGGGAGTGGGGATCTGTTAACGTAAATTCTGCGCGTCTCTGTCACTCACATCAGCCTGATTGGCATAGGTGGGCGGGCGTGTCTGCAGCAGCTCCTCTAGCTGCACCATCCATCACGCACAGCACTGTGCTCATGGGACTACGGCCTCTGATCCCTGTCACTTGGTTGCTTCTCTCCTGTGAAGAGGACAGAGAACGTACAGCCAGTCCTGGCTGGGCACTTGGCAGAGGTAGGTCCTGGCCATAAGAAAGCCAGATAACACGGTAGGTTCATTTATGCGGACTCTGGAGCCAGACTGTCCAGGTTTGAATTGTGTGGTCTTGGGCATTATTTAACTTCTGTGTGCCTCAGTTTCTTTATCTAAATAAATGGGATAATAATAGTACCTACTTTATAGGGTTCTTTTGAGGAGTGCATGAGTTAGTTAAGTGAGTTGTAAAGCACTTTGAGATCAACGGCTGGGAGATAGGAGGTGTTACATACGTGTTTATCAAATAACACATAAAAAACGAAGTAGTAGGTGAACATCATTGTTTGTAGGTAGACAGTGGATAAAGCTCCATTGTCTACGATGGATAAAGCTCACCTAACTGCTTTAGTAAAGGTACTCATGATGAGTTACATGCAAATGAAATAATTATTAACTGTACTAGTGGAGTTTGCCATTTTAAAGAATCATATGAGAAATATGTTTGTAAACTGCCTTTTTGTGAAATGAACATGAGAGAAACAGTGTAAGAGGAAGAGGGAAGTTCAGGATGACTTGATTTTTTTTTTTTTTCCCCAGAGCTATTGGAAAGATAGAGCTGCCATCATCCTGGGTGGGGAATGCTTCTGCTGGAGTGGTTTTGGGAGATAGAGAGTAGTTCGATTTTGGATATGTTAAGTTTGAGAGGCCTGTTGGACATTGAAGTAAAGGTGCTCTGTGGGCATCAGTGGTGTCAGGGGAGAAGTCAGGGCTGGAAACCTCTATGTGGTGGTTTATTCCATCTAGCTAGAGATGGCATCCAAAGCCATCGTGAAGGAATGGAAGCAGACAAAGAAGAGTCCGAGGGCTGAACCAGGGGGTATTCCAGCTCCAGTGGAAGAGTCAGGCTGTTTCCAGTTTTCTAGTTTGTTCTTTCCTTCGATTTGCAAGTGTGAAATGAAGGGTGGACCTACTTAATGCTGGTGTTTTCTTTGGCTAGTTTATCATCTTGAGTCCTGTTAATGCTTGGACTTCAGAGTCAATAGACTCTGATCAGATACCAGTTGACCTCATCCTAGCTTTGTGCATTTGGGCAAGCTACTTACCCTCTGACACTCTGTTTTCTTATCTTGAGATGGGAGCTGGTAGTAAAAATGCCCATCTCAGAGATTTGAGGGCTCAGTAAGTGCAGCTGTGTTAATGCTTTGAAGCTGTTAATCGCTTTATCACTGTGAAATTCTCCCTGTTCGTGCCAATGTGTAAGAAGTGAGGAATTTTTAAAGCCCTTTGAATTTTGCCTGAGCTGGAAACCACATTTTAATTTAACCCACACTGCTGCTATTTTCCTTCCTTCTTTTTATTAAAAATAAAAGAGTGAGGTCAAGGAGGTACTGCAGTAAATTTTACATGTCAGCTACTTATACTTCCTCTGTAATTGAAACACTGCATCCAAAGATCAGATCTGGCCTGTAGATGTGGCAACTGGTATGTGATTCACAGACGCACAAGCCGTCAGAGACCTGAAAACAGAAACACGGAAAAAAATGGATATCCCTGGCAGTGTCAGTGTTTCAGTATTATATATGCTAACCTCATACGTGCTCTTTACCACTATGAGCCGGGTAAGAAAGTTCTCACTCTTTTCCAATAAATGAACTGATCCTCCCGACTGTTTTAAATTCGAGTTTTACACTTGGTTGGAAAATGCATCTGAGACACTGAGTTTTCACTCAGCAAATAATACAATTCTGAATTTTTTTAAAAAGTCTCACTCTCAAAGCTCAGTAAGAACCAAGAGATGTGGCGAATGAAATTCTGAAGTCTTGTCTCTCAATTCTCTAATTAGAATGTCTGCCGTGTTTGCATATGTGGTTTATATGCAACGAATTTGTGGCTTTTCTGTTTTGCAAGAGTTACTGTCAGCGAGACGTCTACCAAAAGAAATACTACTATTAGTGGTGACGGGACCAAATATATGTAACGTTGTGGTTGGTGTCTAAATCTCTGCTAGAATTTTTGAGAAACCTTCTCCAGATGGAGGTGGGTGGTGTGAGGACTGAAAGAAAACATTAGAAATAACCAAAGCAGAAGAATTAATAGGCAAGAGTTTGCAGTGATTACATTTTTCTTTCTGGTCTTTCAGGTTGAGGAAGTAAGGAGAATAGGCATAAACTGTGGGAAATTTCCGTCAACTTGGAAAAAACAATAGAATAAATAATTCTTAGCCATGAGGTGAGAGCCCAGGCAGTCACAAGGTCAAAGGATTCTGTCCCATTTGTCTGTGGTGACAGCCTCTGCCCCCCCCCTCCCCGAACCCAAAGGAACTCTTTACCCTTAAACAATAGAAGTGTCCCTGGGAAGCTGAAAAGGTGCATGCAAAGGGAATTTTTAGAAATCATATCATTTCAGAAGTACACCAGTGGTTATACTGGTTTTCTGTATTTTCTAAATTTTGTTTAGTGAGATTGTATTCCTTTTATAATAAATAAATAGGTAGGTAGATAAATAAAAATTAGAAAAATAAATTTAAAAGAAGGAAATACACGAGGAGTGTGGAGATGGGTGTGTTGTCACCATTTCAAGGTGCTGAGTTGCTCACATTTTATAATGTGAGGATTATTTTGTCTACAAGTCATAATTATCTGCTCTCTCCATTTACAATCTGTAAAAATGTGCCAGGTGTCAACAGTGAATGTCACCCATCAAAACCCAAGACCTGCTCTACAAAAGCAGGGCCAGCCCTCAGTGAACAGATACTTCTTCAACTTTCACACTGTGCGAGACCCACCCTGTGTGCCCTGTTCCTTGCCGCTGTCTCTGGCCATTGGAGATGCTCACGTACCGCTGCCTTCGTCAGCAGTGTGAACTGGGAGGTCTCTTGTTTGTGAAGGGCCTGCTTCACAGGAATAACGTTGCAATCAGCCCAGGGCCCAGCTGTAGCTGCAGCCCGTGAGGCCCACTGCGGTAGCCTGAGTTTTTAGTGTTTGGCTGGGCTGTTTTGGTTTTATGCCTGTGTGTCTGTTTTGCTGGGGCAAGCGGGAGGGGAGGGATTCTTAGAAAAGGGAAGGAGATATCCTCTGCATTACTGAAAATGGAAATAAGGAATTATCAGTTCAGGGTCAGTAGAAGCCACAGTGCCTGGCTTCCTTCTGCTGTGCTCCTCTGGAATGATTTTGCTTAGTTTGGAAAGGTCTGAAAGTGACATGAGCTAGATAAATTGTTCTAGGGTGGAGCTTTTAGCAGGGAGTACGGAGATCCCTAGGGCATTCATGGAGGGACCTTAGGAAAGATGTCCTGAAATTAAACAGAATGTTGCATGTATGTATTTTTTACCCAGAGATGAAGACTTAATTTATATCTCAAATAAATCCAGAGAGTCATACTTCAAAAAAAAAAAAAAAAAAAAACAATGGTTAAGAAGTTCTAGGGGGAGGCCCAGAGTGTATCCTGGCCTTGGCCCTAACTAGAGACCCCTTCCTGATGGATGAATTGCATATGTAGTGGAAGTACCAGTGTGTAAAACATCTTAGGTGAAGCCCCTGCTGCAGAAAGATGAGGAAGGTTTTACTTCCTCCAGTGCTGGAAAGCTGGAAATCCAGAAATGTACGACTCCTGCGCTTCTGTGGAATGCTTGCTGTTCTTCTCCCTCTCTGTGTCTTATCCTGGAGCCTACAGAGCTCCCTGAACTCTGTATTACCTGAAGAGTTCACTAGCTGAAGTGAACGCTAATGTCTCTTTTACCTGGTCTTCCTCTTGATTCAACCAGGTTGAGTTTCCCTGCAATTGGGAGGTTGACTTTGGCCCTGGCCTCCACAATGTGACAGAAGGCATCTATAGTGAACTCCTGCCGGGCTCTTTATCCTGAGTCCAGCATGTAAATGTTGATCTTCCCACCCTTGGTTCTTGCTTCTCCTCATATTATACATTCTCTCTGGGTGACCTGTCAGTCTGTGTGATGAACGCTCATCTCACTTCTTCTGAGTGCTCAACCTGTCTATTGAACAGGACCCATAGACATCTCAATGTGGTTGTCCCGTACGCCCATCAAACTCATCAGGTCTAAAATTGAACTCATCATATCCCTACCACCCCTCAAGTATTCTTCCCCCTAAAGTCCTCATCTTGGTGAATAGCACAAAAATCTATCCAGTTTTCCAGGATCCTTTTTATCCACCCACCACTACTCCCTCAATCTAAATGAGCCCCAAATAGACTTTCTCCCCATGTCTTGATGATCTTACATCTTAAATGGCTCATAAAAAACATCCCCCCTTTTTATCGCTCAGCTTGCAATGCCTGATCACAATCCACCTTCCTCATTGCTTCCAGAATGATCTTTGTAAAATACAACTGAATCATGTTATTTCCTCATTTAAAATTGTTTAATTGATCTCCATTGCCTTTATGACAAAACCCAACCTTCTTGGCATGGCCTGCAAGGCTCTGTCTGACCTGACTCCCAGTCTTGCCAGCCTCTTCTCTTACTACTCTCCATCTGACTCATTGCTTCAGTCGAACTGAATTATCTATAGTTCAGAAAACATGTTTTTATTCATCTCCGAGACTTTGTATGAACACATTACACTTTATTACAGCTGTTTGGAGTGGGGGACTTATTAAAAACCATACACTTCAAGGTTCTAAGTCATGTACAAAACAGACACCATCACTTCAGCTCTGCATCACCCCCTCCCCACCTCTCACCCCTTTTCTAACACTAACCCTGAATCTCTGAACTGGAACCTCATTTCTCAGCCCCATCTTCCTTCATACCATGCCTTATCTCCAGATCCTAACCCACCCCTGATACATACTTTGGGAGTTGGGGTCAGTGATGTGTGATGTTTGGCGGGGGGTTAGGTAGGCGGGAGGTCTGGGGGTGAATGTAAGAGCCAGGGATGTCCGTTGTGCACCCTTTTTTGGTAACAAACAGTGGCTTTGCATGTTAACACAATCCATTTAAACAGGGCTAAGTAAAATGGCACCCTCTAATTGACCATATTGTATTGTCCTGTTTTGTTCTTATAGATGCCATTACTGCA